GCTATTTGTACACAGGGACTCTCTAGTTGGAAGTTCTTGGCAACATCCCACCTTAGTTTAATTGAATCTGCAGTGGCAAGACAATTAAGGATGTGAATTTGAAGAAATTGCTTACAACAGGATCAACTCAGGATGAATTTATCTTTGGGGACTGACTCATGCAGAAGCGAAACAAAAACATAAATGGAAGATTATTCTTTTTGACTCCATAACCTGGGCCTCAAAATCTCACATTTGTTTTTGATGAGTGTTTTGTGGGATATAATGTCAGCCCAAATATTAACTGGTATTGTTTAAGGGCACTGTAACAAAGTTCAGATAGACTGACTGAAGCTATAAGGGTTCTTTTCTTGTTTTATCAGCAACTGGATATGCAGTACGTAGGAGAAAGAGAAAGGATGCACACATTAATTCAGTAAAATACATTAAGGCCATGTCTAGTTATAACTGCATGTGCATATGTCACTCTGAAAGTAATGCCTCTTATTATTTCCATGGAAATAATACAACAGATACAAGGAGCACAATAACACTATTTGATAGAGCAAATTCTCAGCTACAAAACACTATTTTTTCACGTGGTGACCATGATCATCAGATCTGTGCAGATGAGCTGATTAAGATGCTCTTCATTTTGTGATGTGAGAGCTGTTCATGGCTATCGAAAATATGGCTTATCTTTCATGCCACTGCTGAAATGCATCCCTCACTGTACTCACATCCACTGTTTGGTCTCATCTGCTGCCATCTGTCACACGGCAACAAAATGTAACAGAATATTGGTGGGTAAAGTTCAGCCTCTGCTGCCGTCCCTCCAACATCCGCCTCTGACATCGTGAGCCAACGCAATTAAATAGGAGGCATTACTTTCGGATATCATTCCAGCACTGTGTAATGAGCTTGCTCCTATTTGTGAATGTTAAAAAGAGATAATAAGTACTTCAAAGTTTGTACTTGCAGCAGAAAGATCCCTATCACATTCCTTCTTTCAGTGCCCAAATACTGTCTGCTGAGCCAAAAGACATCGCATCAGGCAGAGCTCCTTTCTGCCTCCCCTTCCCCACTTCTGCCCACTTCAGTTACGTCAGACACTGAAAGATTTCATGCGATTCTGGAAGAATGCCCAGTTTTTAACTTTTCCCACATGTGGGAGGCATTTAACTTCAGTTCAGATTGGACAGAGGGTCAAAAGCACCAACGGACAGTGAGTACTGAGCTGGTGGACATTTCACACCTGAATAAAACCAGAGATCAGAGGAAACAAAGACAGCTCAGCGCTGTGTCCCAGGGTTGTCCATTTGATCTTCTTCCCAGTGTTCCCATTCCTCAGAGAACTCTCCTGTTTCCTCCTTCTTTTCTCTTCACAACACAAAGAATGTTTGGACTGCTAATGATAGTTCATTGTGGTAGAGAGCATCACTTACAATGTCAACTCACTCTCTGTAATACCATGACAAACTAATGTGCTGTAGCAGTAGTAGCGTCACCATCAATTTCTAATAAATCCAGAATCACAGAAACACCAAGGTTGGAAAAGACCTACAAGATCATCCAGTCCAACCATCACAAAACCAACAAGCCACAAACAGCAAACCCACTTTGACACCAAGCAGTTTAATCAATTAAATCACATCTTGTAAACTCAAAACTGACCTGTACGCATCCCTTAATTTCCAGCTCAAGTTTTGGTATTTTCTGCCCAGAACTGAAAGTTAATTGTCCTACAATTCCTTGCACTGCTTTTGCATATTTCTGCATTTGGATGATGATGACCTGTGCAGGTTATCATCCCCTTTAGTTTCTTACTTTGCTAACAAGGACATTACATTGGCTACTCACTTAGGACTACAAGGAATATCTACCACCTGCTGGTCTGTAGCCACTGTAGACACCTGTGGCTTATAGCCATTGGTTTTGATGACAGTGATCAGCCCTTGAGAAGGATACACTAAATTCATACCAGAAACTAAATCTGAAAAAGTGCATTGTTGGTAAATCAGAGCATAGTTTTAAAGCCCAGTATCCCAATCTGCCACAGTTCAAAACAAACACTTTTTCGCTGTTGAGAAGCTGAGATTTCTGACTTTCTAGTGATATAAATTATACCCTTCTAAGCTCAGAGCTTTTCAAGACGCCAGACCTCAAAAGGGTCAGTGGCCCCTGAGCTGAGCAGTGCTGTGATGGAATGTCGCCAAGGTTGAATATATTATCACTGACTTCAAACCAGAGTAATTTTTGCTGCTCTGAATTTCTGCTGTTTCACTGTACGCCACAGGATCAGGACAGGTAAATGTGTGCTTAATAATGAAGTAGAAACCACTCTCTGCTATACTACATTGCAAATCCACGTCTAACCCAGACTGATGATTGGGTTCAGTAATGGAAACAGCCAACAGAACAAATGCTGCTGCTCCCTTACAGATCTGCCAGTGTGAGACATCCATTTACACCAACAACAGCATGCAATCCAGTACACTGCACTGCTGCTCAGCACCACTCAAACCCCTTAATACACCCTACAAAGCTAAAGGAACGGACTGACTGTTTTGTTGCACTAGGAAAAAGGCAGACGACTGCACGAAGAGGTCTGTTATTTCAGTGGTTTTACCAGAATGATGAAAGGATTGGAGCTCTGGCTCCAAAGCGACCTCACTGCTTCAAATGCACATTTGCTCCTCTGCTTTGCTCTTGGGAATGGAAGGATGAAAAGCTCTCAAGAAGCACACACCTTCCCACCTCATCTCATCATCTTATCAAAAAGGGAAACAATGCCCAAGAAGACACTTTGACAGCCTCTCTACAGCAAGTCAGAACATCTTCACTTGTGAATAGTCTTTGGCTTTTTATAGATATTCTTACAAAAAAAAAAAAAAAAGCATTAATATTAAAAATATGCTATCCCCACCTGAACATTGAACACCTACAGAAATAGTGCTCTGGCAGCACAATGGTTTCATTTCTATTAACAGAAACCTCCAGCTAACAGTTACTTGTAGCTCTGTGGAGCACTTTTTAGAGTGAGTTTAGGGATGCTTCGGTTAAGACTCAACATCATTAAGCACCATTATTCCACTGGGAGGACTGGATCTGGCTTGTTTTCTCTTATCATGTATCTATTTCCACAATGCACCTGGATGAGACTTCTGCAACAGCATATCAGCTTCCCTTCCAAAGGAGAGAGGGCACTCTGATCTGCAGACTGCATGCTTTTCAGCAGATCGCAGGGCTCTTCGATAGCCTTGAAAACATTAATGGTAGTTACAAGATTAAGGACTGGAACTCAGAAAGAGTTTTCCCTGGGCTGCAAGAAACCAGAGGGTAAAAGTAATAAGCAAAAAGCAAAGGGGGAAAATGAATAGCAATTTGCTGAAAATGGTGATATGATAGGGTCGGCGATGGGGAGGCAAGCACAACACGTGTTGTTGCCCTGCACAGCATCTCTCCTCGCTCTGCCCCTTCAGCTGCCCATCCCCTGCTCAGTTCAGGCAAGCATCCTTTCCCCAGCACAGAGCAGTGCAGCAGCTGCAATGGGGACTCACTGGAACTCCCTGATAACTCTTCAAGTGCATTCAAAACTCAAGGGAATGGAAAGGAAAACCAGGGAAGGTCAGCTGCAGGCAGGCTGTGCCCCTTACTTTAGCTAAACGTTTCATTTGCTCCTAAGCTTCTATTAGCAGTAGGGGGGAAGAGTGCCCTTAACCCTTTTCTGCCACTCTTCCTAGAATTCAATGCATGATCACAGCCCCCCACTGCCCATCTCATTCACTGCCTGCGGCACATGTAAGGCTTCACAGCTGTAAAAGGCAACGCAGAGCCTGGCCATAATTACAAACCAAAGACACTGTAACACCATCCATGAAGCGTGTAAAATGAATTCCCATTATTTAACTTCTTTTTTTTTTTTGTTTAATTTTTAAAAGAACTATGTAAAACACACACACACACCAGCCTGATGGGAAGGTTTTTGCCCTGTCTATACAACAGCACACAACTCACTGATTTCTGTTCTTTTACATAAAGGACAATTTGATAAACACCTCACTCTGCTTTTTAACTTCACGTTTCCAACGTGCGACGGAACACATCACAACCATCTGAACACTCCATCCACGTGTGTGACATGAGACAGTTTAGAGCAACTGCCAAAAACTCCCCCAAGTAGCCAGAGAGCAAATGAGTTAGAGGAAATTCTGCAAAGGTGATTGAACACAAAGTTTTGAGTAAGTGTCCTTAAGTCTCAGACGGAGCTAGCTGCAATGACTTTCTCCCGGTCAGCCTCTCTATTTTATGCCAAATTGAGCCTAAGTGCAGACACAGTCATGCAGAAAAGCTCAGTGCACAAGGCAGCAAGTAGCTGCTGAGGCACACCGTAAAGTAAGTGTCTTCATTTTTCCACAATGATGGAGAATTTCGCCCTCCTGCTGCCCAGAACCCACCCGTGTCAGCACTTGGAAACAGGCTGAATCCTCTTTTGTTTGTGCAGACTCAGACAGTGGTGGGCTTTAAAAGAAACTGGAGCCAAGTGGAGGCAGGGAGGAAGGTGACAAAGGCTTCAGTGCAAATAGGCGTGCAGAGTGCAAACAAAAAAGGGCCTGATTCTGTCTCAGGTTGTACAGCAGAGCAGAGGAAGAGTCACCTGTGAGGTCTGAGAATCACAAGTGGATTTTGTCTGGTGCACAGTGTGAGAATGGTGGACACGTTTACCTTGATGAGCCAAAAGAAAACTCCAGACCCAACTTTCTGCCCAACCTGTCAACTTCCAGCACTCAACCAACCCATCTTCCATTCATTCATCGGATCAGATCAATGCCATTGAAACCTTTCCTACGTTGTAATGCCATCAGGGAGCACAGACGAACGAAAGAAGAAACACTCCCCAAAACCCATGCCTGCTCCAACTGAACAAAGTCACAGCTGCCACGGTCGCAATGGAACGCTACTGCAGACTTGAGTGGGAAAAGAGCCCCTGATATTTTAACTGAGGAAGGAAGCAGGCTTACCGTGTGAGCTGACAGATCACGTCCCGCTGCGAGCAGCCTCCACCAAGCAGAGGTATTGCAGCCAGCTATCAGCTCCCGACTTCCTCACCGTCCTGTCAAAACTCAGACAAGTTGTGCCGTCTCATTTGGTTGCGCGTGTGCGAAAGGAGCGTTTGACAGAGCGGCACACTGGTCGGATCAGCCAGATTCTGCCGGGTTTATATAGCTGAGCTGCAAATCCTGATCCTTGGCTCATTCCACTGTAATAGGATGCCTGGAGGCATTTTTTTTTTTTTTTTTCAGTTTTGCTTTAAAGGAACAGCCCCCTCTCTTTGGCTTAGCTTCTGAAGAAACACGCACGCTCTTACAGACACACTGTCATACACACACACACACAAAGAATTTGCATGCAGTTTATGGCTAAAGAAGGAAACCCCTGAACCATTCAAACAAACAACAAAAAAAAAAAAGTCAGCTCAGGGCAAATGACTCAGAAAGAGGAATATTTTCCTTACGGCATCAGCAGAGCGCATTATCAGGAATTTCAAACCCCGTATCCCCATTATTTTAACACTGCGAAACAGTAGCAAATTGAAATCAGGGGGATCACAAGCACGGGGTTTCCATTCCAGAAAGTCCCTCCAAGTGTGCTGGGGCTGATGGGCAGCAAGTGAGGCTGGCACCGCTCCGTGGGGATGAGCAGAACAGCTCGGCTGTACACAACACAAGCTGCCGATCTGGCACACATCACTCTTTCCAGGCTTGTGATCTCTGCATCCCAGCTTCTGCTCTACCTCAGCTGGGGGGGCAGCGGGGCTGAGCAGCATCCTGGGCTGATTCTCTTGAAAAGAGAGAAAAGCCTACAGAAGCACACGGGAGAGCTTCCCTTTTTTTTAAAGAGAGGCTCTGCAGTTGGGTGTTGGAAAGATCCTCCAAGCACTCCACGAGTCCCTTAATCATCCCGGAGCTGTGGGTAATGCACAGTGCTGTTCAAAGTATCTCCTGGTTGCCCCCAAATCTCAGCCTCGTGGCAAGGAGTTGTGATCACAGTTAAAGAATTACCATCAGCACTCAGCTCCCTTCTACCTGGCACTACTTTTTTTTCTTTTGGGGTGGGGGGGAACTTAGAGAGAGAGGAGCTGCAGGGCGAAATACAGAGTTAAGTTCTGTCATGTCTATGTTCTAGGAGAAGGGATAAAATTGCTTCACCATTTCCAAAGCAGGACTGATCCAAACCCCTTTAAAACTTTATCCACCTATCTCAGGAGGCCGTGAGACTGCCCAGTAAGAAAGCAGTGGGGTCCTACTCAGCAACAAGGATGCTCACAAGAATTAAGAGGGACTGCCCAGGCCCTTCTGAGCATTCTCCCTTTCTGAGCATGTCTCCTCCCAGATGGCCTTCCCCAGCCTCCATGGACTTGCATCACTTTTAGGATTTTTTCCTTTTCCTGCTTCACAGGCACAGCACTATCAGGAAAACTTGGCCCATCCTGCACCTTCAGGAAAGGATGGGGAATTCCTGGCCTTGAAATTCTGAATTGCCATTTTAGAATCATTATTATTATTATCGTTACAGAAAACAGAGTTCTTTTGGTAACACGAGTCAGATTTTCTTTGCTGGGGATTTCCTATTTACCAGTGATCCCTGTGTTTATTTTCTGATGTGTAACAATAACACTGAGCTCAATCCCTTCTTCAACGCACAGCACAATTCTCAGTCATTTCTAAACAGATGCTGACAAAAAAAGCAAGCAAAACTTGGTGACGTTTTTACAAACGATTTTTACAACAAACTGATCCCATTTCTCCGAGCAACTACAGAAGTATTCAAGAAATGCTGAGATCAAATGCTTCAGTACGATCAGGGATGCCTCTCTGTCAGCCATTTATGAGCGCTCATTTTCAATTTTTGCTTTAATTTTCTGGCATGCTGTGTCTCATAGCAGCCATGCCGTAAGAACAGAAATGACATCCTACTGGAAAGAGTGTCAGAACTGCTGACTGCTCCCCAGAACAGGCATGGGATTCTCTCTGCTGACTTAGAATCATGGAATCATTAAGGCTGGAAAAGAGCTCTAAGATCAACACGTCCAACCCCAGCCCATCCCACCATGCCCACTGGCCATGGTGTACCGCAGTGCCACATCTCCATGGTTCTGGATCACCTCTGAGGGCCCTCTTAACACTACCCCTCTTAAAAGCAGAACTTGTTCTAGACATTTCCACTGATTCCAAAGGCGATAAGGTATATGATATGATATGATTGATATGATATGATATGATATGATATGCAGCCCCCAGTAAATACTCAGTGTTTGTCTACTGTTCTCCCCAGAATATTCTCAAGGTGATCCTGGTGCCAACCCACCTTAGTTCTCCCCCAGTTAAACAGTCCTATGAAATTCAAGTGAAATTTGTACTCAAGGGTAAAAATCCAATGTGAGATTTTCCCAATAAAATCTGATGGGGACTGAGAAGCAGACAGTTCCCATACAGTGCACCGTTTGCTGTCTCTTTCTTAAGAAGTCCTTTCAGATCTATTTGAGAAATACTTTATTCCTCTGTCCGCATCCACAAGCCTAAGCAAGACAGAAAGCTTGTGAGGAAACAACGGGAAGCAACCTGTGGGATTTGTTTTTGTAGTGTTTGCTAACACCAGGTCTTCTGCCAACAGCTATTGAATCAAAATATACACCAAATTTTTCTCCTATCTTTCTCCACCCACTTACCTGACTTCAAACAACTTGCCGTGATGCGATGAATGAGAGTCAGGTAAGAGTCCAGGCCTGTCCTGGTTTTATCTTTTCTGGCTCACCCACCTTTAAATACACTCTGTGGAAAATACTGAGTGAAACATTGAGTCAGAAGCAAATGATAACATGAAAGAACAGGGAAAACGTATTTTAATCAGAAAGATAGCTTTAGGTTGTGATGTCAAACATGAAGGATTACAACTGAATCATTTGCCCTGTGCTGTTCTCTTTCACTAGATAACTGTCAATATCAGTTGATTTCTATTTTAATGAAAAGAAGGAGAAAGTAAACGAGCATTAAATTTTGTATGTGCAGCTGAGTTTATTGTCTTTCACACACAAGCTCACACTGGAGATGCACTTCACACATGTAAGGATAATTGTAACAGACAAATCTAGGAACAGCTGGACATAGCGTGAAATCAAGGACAGCATGAAAGTACAAAAGAAATCCCAACTCATTATTCTGGAAAATAGTGGATTTCACACTACGTACTCATCATTACCTTGGGACAACATTGTTGCAACACAGGTAATTAGCCATAGTTCAGCTTGAAAACTTGGAACAGGAATAATTTATTTTGTATCGGCATATCAGGCAGTGTGAAAGCTGCCCTGAAGGCACAGAGATGAGCACATCCTGAAATGCATCTTGCCACGCACGTAGCGAAGCTGATTTCAATAATGTGCAGATGGGAATGCACTGAGCCACTGGAATATAACTTACGAAACAAATGGCCAGATGATCATGGCTTGGGGCAGGGAAACATTCTCGATTTGGACAATTTCGGAAGCCAGTGCCTGTAGCTGGAAGGAAGCAAATTTCTTGCAGAAAAATGATGTGAGAGCAGCACCAGGCTCAACAGCAGAGCACAAGAGCACGGCAGAGACAGCCACACCAGGTTCAGAAAGGGCAGCCTGAGAAACGGAACCCACCAACTACAGTTTATTTCGTGCAACGTTAAGCGAAAGATAAAAGAGCAGCTTTAAAGAGAGATGTCGTATCACAGGGTCGATCCTCTACATTTGCTGTTTGGAATCACTCATTGCTAATGTACAAGAAGATAGCTTAACTTCTTTTTCAGATAGCATCTGAATAGCTAAACTCTTGCTTTAAATATCTGATATTCACAACAATTCATGTTGCCTGTATACTAATATCCTCCTTCCTGAACTAATGGCTCTCAAATATAATACAGGGTTTTCAAAAACACTGCAAACTCTTGACTATTTGTTCAGTGCATACGTTTAAATGAGAATATTATTTTGTACAGTTATTCATAGACCATCCTTTCCCAGTGTAAATAGCAGTATGACTACATTTAATTCAACAGTGTTGACAGCAACATTGCTTTGAGGCTGGATTGATTCTGATAATTGCAACCCATGTTGAAGGGCATTGTTTTGATATTAGAAAATGCAAAAGTTTATCCCTACTCCAAGGGAAGTCTGACCTAAGCAGATGAACACAGAATCTGAGGGTGCAGGTTGGCAACTGATGCTCAAATTATCAGTACTGAGAGCTCTAGTAAAGTTCGGCTCCATAATGCCCAGTAAGATATTAAATATCCTACCAGTTACAGAACATACTGCCATGCTCTGGAAGATGCCCTTGGTCATGTCCTCACACCTCCTTCCCTGGCCTATGAAATAGGCATTCTTTGCAAGTAGGCAGCGACACACTCATAATGGACACTAGACAAGAGTTTATTGTTAGTGGTATCCAAAATACTTATAAATAAAATCTAGACAGCCCTATGAAAACATCAGTCAAGAAGAATCAAAGCTTCACTGCAAGAAATAAGGACTAAATTGAGAAGAAAAACTATACCAGCGTTTAAGTATTCTCCATCCAAATTGATGGTGCCAGGCTCTGTGGCAAAGTAGCTTCTAATCTTCAAAAGTATCTTTGGCATAAATTAAACTTACAGTAGAATTTATTAGAAGTTTGTGAGGCAAAATAAGGTTTTTGCTGTGTATCGAGGTAGGAAGAGAGAGAAGAATATCCCAATGTGCTGAGGACCAAGAGAGAAAACGAAGGTTATTATTTGAGATAGCATAAAGATTTTATCAGCATGTCAGCACTACTTAGCAGTAAAGCCATAGATGGCACAGGGAAAACACCTCATCTACTTGCCAGAAAGGGTTTTATACCTTGTGATGCCAATTTGCATTTCTAAGTGCTTGAGTTCATTAGAAAAACTTGACTGCGTGCTTCTATCCATCACAATAAACGTAAATACCCTTCACTATAATTATGTGTTCAAGCTTATTGATGCCAAAATTACAGGTAATGACGTTAAACACACCCCTAAGGATTCTGCAGGAACCATTTTCACGCTGAAGCTTAAGCAGCAACAACAACAAAGCAAAATCTGTAGTGCTTATCCATTCTAGCTAAAAAGCGTTCAGCTGTAACAATAGCTGCTATCAGGACATGTCCTCAAGTGATGAGATTCCTAATGTCAATAA